TCCTTATAGAGTGCATCCCATCCCATCCCAATGCCAGTCCCCCACCCCAAAATGGCCAGGATTCGTTTGCGAAATTGTCTCGTATTTGACAGTTGACAGTTGGTCGACTTTTGAGCTGAAAGTTATGAGCATAAACATGATATTTGCCAGGGGCCCGATATTGCTGTTGCTATTGCCATTTGGCCATTTATCCTTTATATTTTTCTGCCAGTCACTTTATTCCCCTGCCCTAATCAAAAAATGCCAGCGTATAAAGTTATGAAATCAATTAATCATTTTAGTTCATTTATGATTTAATGGTTTCACTTTTTTGTGGGTTCCGCTTAGAATGGGCATCGTAAAAATCCCCCCAGCCTCCTTTTTTTGCAATGCGTTAATGAAGTCGCGAACCTGGCACTTTCCCTATTTTCATTTTCATTTTCATTTTCATTACCATTACTATTTGAATTTCCCCCTTTCGCAAACACTTTCCCCTGCATTATGCAAAACGCAAACAAAGCCGCGCGACAAACATTTGATACACTTTGGGCACTTTTGAATACCATTTTAGGCGGCGGCGCGCAGCAAATCAAATATCGATAAATTTCGCAAACAATGCGAGCACGGGCGCATTAATCACAGGCAGCAACAATAAAATAAAGCAGCCCTATCTGTAAAATCCTGCCCAAGTGCCCGATCTGCATGCAAGCATGCCTATATGCAAAGGCGATCGAAAGGGAGGAAAAGGAGTCGAGGAAATCAGTGATGATCAATTGGCCAATTCGAATTTGAAAGGGTTAAAAAACTATACCTAAAAAATCAGTCAAAATGTAAAATTTGACTCATCGGTACATTTCGGATTCAGATTTTGGTCAAAAATACTCAGTTTTTAGTGGTTTTTCAGTCGTAGCTTAGCCAAATCAAGGCGTACAGCTAAAAGACCGACTGTTTTGAGCAGCTTGCTAAATTTCCTAACGAATCTCATCACTTTTAGGAAAACTTATTTTTTGACAAATTTTTTCATTTTTTGTAAGGGGGTACATCGTTTTTTTTGGGATTCACATTTTGGTCAAAAATACTCATTTTTTAGTACTTTTTCAGTCGTAACTTAGCCAAATCAAGGCGTACAGCTAAAAGACCTACTGTTTTGAGCAGCTTGCTAAATTTCCTAACGAATCTCATCACTTTTAGGAAAACTTATTTTTTGACAAATTTTTTCATTTTTTGTAAGGGGGTACATCGTTTTTTTTGGGATTCACATTTTGGTCAAAAATACTCATTTTTTAGTACTTTTTCAGTCGTAACTTAGCCAAATCAAGGCGTACAGCTAAAAGACCTACTGTTTTGAGCAGCTTGCTAAATATGCTAACGATTCTCATCACTTTTAGGAAAACTTTTTTTTTGACCAATTTTCGAATATTTTGTAATCACATTTTTGGCGAAAAAATGGCAAAAATTGAACATTTTCAGGTTTGAATGCCAATCGATTGGAAATTAAACAACGAGCTCAACGAGGTATGACATTCCTCATTCTGACTTATATTTTTGTTATGGCAGCCAAAAAACTGAATTTTTGGGCCAAAAAATGGGTTCTGATTTTTGTCAAAAATACGAAATTCAGATTTTTGTCAAAAATGCGACATTTTTTTTCGGTTTTTTCATCGTAGCTCAGCCAAATCGAGGCGTACAGCTTAAGGACCGACAGTTTTGAGCAGCTTGCTTAATATGCTAACGATCCTCATCACTTTTATGAAAATTAATTTTTTGACCAATTTTCGCATTTTTTGTAATTTTGTACTTCACTTTGCGAAAAATGGCAAAAATAAAAAATTTCCAGGTTAGAATGCCATTGGATTGGAAATTAAGCAACGAGTTCAACAAGGTATGACATTCCTCATTCTGACTTATATTTTTGATATGGCAGCCAAAAAACGAAATTTTTAGGGCCAAAAAATGGGTTCAGATTTTTGTCAAAAATACGAGACTCCGATTTTTGTCAAAAATGCGACATTTTTTTCGGTTTTTTCATCGTAGTTCAGCCAAATCAAGGCGTACAGCTAAAAGACCGACTGTTTTACCGACTGTTTTACCGACTTTTAGGAAAACTTATTTTTTGACCAATTTTCGAATATTTTGTAAGGGGTTACATCACATTTTTGGCGAAAAATGGCAAAAATGGAACATTTTCAGGTTTGAATGCCAATCGATTGAAAATTAAACGACGAGCTCAACGAGGTGTGACATTCCTCATTCTGACTTCTACTTTTATTATGGCAGCCAAAAAACGGAATTTTTATGGCGTAAAAAAGGGTTCAGATTTTCTTAATGTTTCTGTAATTAGTTTTCTAAAAATCGGAAACTCTGAACATACAACGCTCCCATGGGAACGTACTGCAAGTTAGCCTCCTTTCTTGTTTTTAATTAATTCCTTAACCCTTTGGTCCCTAGCTAGTAAAAGGGCGATGACGCATCTCTAGCGGGATTCGCAAAGTTTATGCGCCAAAGTGGCGAGCCTTTAGCCACAGGCCATCGAGCATGCAAATCCCTATCCAGCTCTCCAGTTCGAAGTCTCGGGACCTCGGGATCTCAGGACCCCGAAGGAGTGAGAGTGAAAGTCAAGTGCCTCTTGGCGACGCGCTCTCCCCTAAACACGCGTGCGAGCGAGCGAGATGGCCGCAGCGCGAGGGAGAGGGATGGATGATCCGGTCGAGGCGGAGTGGTAAAAAATGTATGGGCAATTTGCATATAGCCATCGGGACTGGATCGTGACTTCGGGCAGTCCTTTAGCCAGGGTCCTTGGGCTCTCGTTAATTAAGCGTAAAATCGTCGCACACGAAATGCTGAAAACTCAAATTGAATTTGAGTGGTTTTCGTGTAGTTCTTTATCCATTTGTTGTTTTTTTTCCCTTTTTGTTCTCATAAACCGCAGAAAATGCGAGGATTATGGTAATTTTCTCCGAGAATTACATAGAAGAGAAGACAAATCGGGATACGCCTTGTTTACCAGGATGCTCGTTAAATCATATTAATCAACATGCCGATATCCTTTCTATTGCTCTGGAAACTCTCTCAAAACCCCATTTAATCCCATTGTACGGCTATATAAACAGCGATAACTCAACGCCAAAAAAAAAGAATCGAAGGATTCCAGGACATAACGAGGGCAAATCGAACGAAAAAGAGGTAAAAAGTAAGCGAAAGGAGCGCATTTCGCTAAGTAAACTCAGGAAAAAGAGTTGAAAAATTCTAAATATTGGTGGATGGAACGAGGCAATCAATTAACTATCCGGCACCCTTTTTTTTTTGTCCCGATCTGAGACAAAAGCCGATCGAAAGATAGTCACAAAGAAAACCTACAAAACCAAACAACTTTCACCGCAAAAGCGAAAAAAAAGGAAAGGATAACGTGCGAAATATACGATCTCCGTTAGCGGAAATCTTTCAGCGATCGAAAGATCGCAAATAAAGAGATTAGTAGGGGACCAGCACCCATTCAACGAGAGTAGCATACCCAAAACGAGATCGAGTCCCCAGATAACCAAGCAAGCCACGTTGGTCACGGACACTTTGAGTGATCCAAGTCCAGAAAATGACGAGCTCGGATCACTTGAACCTCACTTAGGATCTCTGGTCGATGATCACTTGAAGATCACTCAGGGATCTCGATGATCACTTCATCTACAGCTGGTCAAGGACCACATATGTGGGCAGTTATCTTTGATCTTGTCATCAGAAACATATCCGATTATTGGTTCCATATTTCATATTCATATTCTTGCGCTGCGGCTATACTTTTTAAGTCTAGATCACTAAAGTAAATGATGGGAACCTTTTCTTTTAATATAAAAGTGGACGGAAATTTGAGAACGTTAACAAGTTAAAGTCAGGGTATTTTTGTGATTGTAGAAAATAAGAATTAAAAAAAAGTGGAATGTTTAGTTTAATCAATTTAAAGTAGTCCCCCCAGGACCCTTAAAACAAACCTAAAAACTTGATAATGTGATAATGAACATAGTTTGTAAGAACTTCCCCTGCTGGGTGAACAACTGACGCTTTGCACAGGACTTTTCCCAGAGTTTGTAACGTTTTTCTAATGCTTCCTTCCGGAAGTGGCAAACATATTCAATTAAAAACCGCCGAGTATATAAATTGCATTTGCGGCCGCTAAAGAGCCGCAATTAATACTGATACCACATCAACGACAAGTGGCTAAAATGACTGAAATGACGAGGAGCTGTCGGCCAGGAAGTTGGACTTTGGCATGGGCTAATTAGCCTGGCCAACCTGGGCTTCCTTCCGCCTTTTCCTCTGTTTTCCGTTTTTCAGCCTGTTGCTGCTGAAAATGTCCATTCAAATGAGGGGGAGAAAAGGAAGCGGACTTCCTTGAGGGGAATGAAAGCAAATTTAATAACCAAGCGCTGGCCGATAGCCATCTAGATGTAATTTTCGTGTGGTGTTGCTGTGGATGAGTGGATTGGATTGGGGTGGGGAACTCCCGCGGAGGACTATCAAAACTGTGGGAAAAGATTAATCTAAATATAGTTCAAGATCCCTTGAACAATCTCAAAACGATTAAGAGAAAATGTAATCTTAATATTGCATATGTTGTATAACTTGGGCTAATTTAAACATGATTTTGCTTTGTTATATATAGGATGAATTGGTTTTAAGGATGTGATGGTTCCAGAATATAAAAAAATGTTCTAAATTATTATTTTTTAAGATAAGTTCATGATATTCCTTAGCTTACTCCTTAAGTTTCTCGGGATCTGCAAATACTTTCTAGCCCCGAGATATCTTCCGACTAAATATGTCCCTTGGCCAGAGAGAGAAAGATAGGAAGAGAGGCAGAGAGATCCAGCCAGAGAGCGAGTGTCCTTCTGCCCGCCGGGGTGCCTCTTGCGCAACAACCCCTAACCCCGTAACCCCTAGCCATTAACCCCTGAGCGCCGAGCGGGTATAAAACACGGCCCGCTGCCCGTACCGCTTCAGTTTGTCAGCGAGAGCGGTCGAGAGCAGAAGACTAGCAGAGTCTAGAGATATACCCATCTTTTTTTTTGTGCCCCAGAAAACGAATCATCCCAATCATATATATTCAAAATGATGAAGTGGACGGCATCGGCTCAGCGCCTGAACGAGATTCCCGTGCAGCAGGATTCGCATCAGGATGCGAGTGAGACGACCCAAAGGAGGCGACTCCAGAGGAGGCAGCGCCGTCAGCGGAGGGCCACCATAGCCAACAAGGAGAATGTGCCCGATACAGTGGGCTACACCTCCACGCCAATGCCCATTTCCAGGCGGCTCAACAGTCCATTGGTTCTGGCCCCCCTCTCCGATATACGCAACGTCACCCCGGAGGCGGTGGCCAGGAGTCAGGCGGCGCCCCAACGGGTCCAGAGTGTGCGATATGCCACCACCTTGCCACGCTTCGCCGAGGATTACTCGCCCAATGGACTGCCAAGTGGCCAGCACTTGGCACTGAGGGGTCTGGCTCCCCTGGATCCCTTTGTGGGTCAACCGCGCTACATTGTGGGATCGGGAGCAGCGGGTGTCAACCAGCTGAGGCAGCGCAAGCTGGATGATGACTTTGTGGCCACCTTGGAGCCGGAGGTCCCAGTACCGAAACCCTCCACCAAGTTGGATGCACGCCCCAGCACTCCGCAGCCAGCTTCCACACAGATGGGCGATCAGACTTTGGATCGCCTCATCGATGCCATTTTGGACTCCGCCTGCAAGGCAGATGTAAGCAGCAAGAAGAAGCCCCGGCGATCTACCTTCAATCTGCGCAGGCGCACCTTGGTGAAACAGCAAATGGAGTCGAATTGCCCCCAGGAGGTGCTGTCGCCATCCTACGCACCTGGCGATGATCCAGCTGCGGATTTGAGCTTCGGCCTGGTGCCCCTGCCCATGCAGAATCTGATGGCCACTCCCGAGCCGGCCTCTCCATTGGCCAAAATTCCACACAACATGCTCATCCAACTGGCCACTCCGGCGCCCTGCGACAACACCTTTTGCCTGGAGACCCCAGTGAAGACTTTGAAGAGGGGCCGCAAGGAGATCATCGCCAAGGAGTCGCCCATTAAGCGCTTCAAGGTCGACGAGCGCAATTACTTCGAGGTGGGATTGGCCCTGCCCTCGTCTATATATGTCTAAAAGAAGGTCCTTCGACTGAGATCCTTAAAAAAAACCACAAAGAAAGAAAGGGGAAGAGAGCGAGCAACGCTGACAAACGGGGGGAAAACGCTTAACTATGACGCTTATTTAGTTCCTAAGTCCTAAACTAAACTACAATTACTGTACATAATTTCTGTTTAGTCTAAGTCTATCAATATTTATTTCAATTATTTATATAACTTTTTTTCGGACGCTGCTGTTATGTAGTTTTTGTATACACAACTTTTTTTTCATTATTTAATTTTAAACAAATATTTATTACTATTTTAAGTTAACTATATAACTATTTTTTTCAAAATAAATGCAGTAAAATCAAAAGCTTTGAAGTTTTAACTTTTAAGGGAATGGCGAAGTGTGCTTTATACTTGGGGAATTTATTGGCTTTAATGCATACATCATTTAAAATCGTTCCTGATATGATTTAATGATTAAAATCTTTTGCATGTGTTTTTTATCTATCTATATATTCAATGAATCAGTAAATAAACTGTATTTTAATTACAAATACAGATTGCTTAAAAGTTTAAAAGTCAGATATCTAAAAGCATTGAGTCTAAAGATCTTAGTAAACGACATGCTTTTTAAGAAAACCTGTAGAAAACTTTAGGGAAGCTTAAATTATACAGAAAACTCCACTTTCCAACGAACTAATTGAAATATTAAATATGTTGTCGAATATTCCAGTACTATTTTTTAATGACGTCTAAATATTATTGTTTTTTAAGAAAATATCTAGGATTATCATCAAGAATATGAAACATCTGCGGTCACCTTCGTCATCTACGTAATACCCAAGCTCGTGCCGATTGCATTTTGACCTGCTTACAACATATATTTACACAGTTGCTTGACCAAGCGATTTGCTTTGCTTTTCCAGGCGACCAAAACAAACAACGGCGATACAGGTTGGGAATTGAGAATTATTGAATACCTGACAGGTACAGTGGCACGCCCTAGGATCCAGGATCACAAAAAGGAGGAGGAGGATTCAGAGTCAGAGTCACAGTCAGGATACAGATACATTTACAGGCAACAGCTGGCCAATTCTCTTGTTTCCTGGGATATGGGAGGAAAAACAGAGGATGGTATAGAGGCTGGAATAGGACCCAGGACCTCAGTCATGTCCACATCCTCAACTGTGGTGCTCAAGTGGCTATTTTCGCATCAAATCTGCCTGTTTATTGCAGTACATTCTACATAAAGCTCCTAATATAACTAAAAAATTTAAAATTACATGGAAACTTTGGTTTCATCCCCCGTTTTCTGCTATTGTCTGTCAGCTTTAGAGCTTAAAGTAATCCAACCAAAAATCATTTTGCCCACATTAAAATTCTATTAGTAACGAACGAAATATAAGCTTTTAATAGGCTTGCAAAAAAGTTAGGAACCTTATGCGGTAATATACACCTATTATAGTAAAGCACAGAACAATTGGGGGTAAGATAAAGCTTAAACTTTGTAAAGGCATGAACAAATCTTTAGAGCTTATGTAGTTGGGTATATGTTTTGATTCTAAAGCTGAAATTATAAAATATTCGACTTAAGATTTGTTTTGTATTTATTTCCCCGTAACATCTAGCTATTTTTGGTAATACAACTCGCCCATACATCATCTCTGATCCTCGGGCACATGATACTTGTTAACACTTTGACGCCCTCGCACACTCTTTTGGCACTGTAATTCGATTTGAGTGCGGTATAGGTATGGGTATTCCTACATCTATCCCTACACCTTTTCCTTGGTAGCACAGGAACATAGAACTTAGGAACCGACTGTTGCGGAAGGAACCCGCTTAATCCCCCGATCCTGCAACCTGTCATCGCATCGCACATTTCTGTGGGCTTGTCCCTAATTTGTAGGCCATTTAGCCTGCGATGCTATAGATAATTGAATTATTTTTATTGTTCACATTGGGCTGGCTGGCTGTTTCAGTTTTTGGGCAACCGGTTATATGCCCTGCTGGGTACACTTGCTACGTTCTTCGATCCCCGTTCTCCGCTGGCCAGCTGTGCTCACCCGCATCGTTAGACCAATTTCCTAATGTCGCCGTCTCGGGTCACACCCCTTTTTTTTTCTGATCTATCCCTAACACTAACCCCTTACCTAACTGTTTATCCCCAAAACTTGGCTTAAAGACGCAACGAATTTACATTTCTTGGCTCGTTTCCGTCTTCACCTCTGTTCCCAACTTCCTCTGTGTTGCGTGTCACTTGGTTAATCGATAAAAATTTAATTAATTGCTTGTAAAAGTGATAAAAAACAAATGCTCATCGAAGGGTGCCAACGATTGTAGAGTGTGGATAGAACGGATGGGCATCAGTTATGGGGGCTTCTGTTCTTCAAGAGGGCGTGGAAACACTGGTCACAGCTGACAGGGCACCGGAAAAAGGGTTAATACTCGGGATACGACGTTCAATTATATTGCCAAAGAAATTACTAAGAACGAGAACTGAGCCCCACCTTGAAAACTAAATGATTTCATTTTTAATAAATAAATAAGCAACTAAGAAAATAGTAAAAGATACAAATTTTTTCTTTTGATCACAGTTATTTTAATTCCAAGTTAAGAACTTCTATTAAAGAGCTTAAATGATCACTATCTCCTGGTAAAAAAACATCTTATTGCAATCTTGTCATACGTTTTTAATTATCTAGGAATAGCTATATCTCCTCTCCACTTTCAAAGGTATAAGCACAATAATAAAACCCGATTTCTGTCGGTCTCAGCTCCTCCTCCTTAGATTTTTTTCCACTCCTTCATTATGCAGTTAGTTAATCAACAGCTGGCCGCAGAAAAAAGGAAGTGCTGCGGCTGAAAAGGATTCAGAGTTCGGTATTCAGGATTCCGAATTCAGAGACTTGGGCTCTCGGGGGCAGGAACAGATTTCGCCAGATGCCGATGCATTCGCGGATTTTCGTACTCGTTTTGTTGTTGATTGACAAACAAGACGCTGCCAGCGCCGCGGGCGAAATGGATGTTTTTTGATTTCAAGGAACCTTTTCTGCTTTTCTGCCTTTCGGCGCCCCTAACCCCCTAACGCCCCTGCCAAACCCTCAACCTCGAAGTCAGAATGCCACCGAAATTTTCGCACTGGCCCCGGGGCAAGAAACTTTCTTTTGCGAAGGGCAAGCTGCAAGGACTCCCCCCCCCCCAAAAAAAAACGAAATAAACCAAAACCCACAGAAGAAGAAAACCAGAACCCCCGCTAAAAAGCTGGTAAGCCGGCTTAGAAATCCGTCTACCATCCACATCCTGGCAGGATACTCCAGGACACTCCCGTTCCGAGGTGCCGAGGATGAGGATGCCCAAACTGTCAGTGAGTGTGTTCCAATAATTGCCAAATATTATGCAAACAATAGGCATCCAAATTGAAATCCCCGCTCGCCGCGTGTGGCATATATTTAATATTTAAATCCCGGCCAGGGTGGTTGCTGCATAATTAAAGTTCATTTTCCAGCGCGAGCTGCTGCAATCTGTTAATGATAAACAAATTTTCCACTGCAATCCGTACAGCGGCGATGACAAAAAAAAAAATGAAACAGAAACTGAAGCGAAAGGGTTGCAACATTTTGATGCCGCTGGCGAATACAAAAAAAAATGAAATACGGAGGATCGGAACGGCGGGGAAATGAATTTTGTGCAAGTCTGCTAATTAGCTCAGCGATCGAAATCGCATCGGATCGGGTGAAGTGGGCAATTCGCAAAGTGTGAAAGTCAAAAGTCCGATGCACGGGGAGAAATTCGCATGCTTTCTGGTAGTTGACTAAAAACTTAAGCAGTACCAAAAAATACTGGACTTGAAAAAGACTGCTGAAGAAATCAGACTGATTATTATGGAACTACACTTTATAAACATCCAGTTTTTAATGGACTTGAAGCTTGTTGTAAAGAGGTTTATGATATGTGTGATTTTGGGTCACAAAACCCGATATTCAGCTAATAATAACAGCTTGGCTAAATAGACATAAATCATTATATGTTATACCTTATGCCATTAGGCGCATAAATAACTATCATACAGCATTGCCAATTTTCTATACTTTTTTTAATTTTACACATTCTTGAGTCATTAAAATATCATGATATTCATGCATATCATGCATATTCCCTTTTCAAAAGTTAAGAAAATTAGTATATAACTAATTTGTTCAATATGAAGTCACATAGCAGTACCAATTTTTTGATTTCTCCTAAGCTTTAAGCAAGAGAAACGAAATTAGAACGAACACATTACCATATCATCCCATCTATTTACATAGACCATTAAGCAGTTCCCAACTTTTGGGTTTTTTTTTTGGCCGTGTAATGATGAGTGGGCAGAATAAGCGATCGGCGGATGACGGCGCAGTTCCGGCGGATCGGAATCGGAGTGACAGTTGGCCGTATGCTATATGCCATATGTCATGTGCGATATCTGGATGCATACTTTTCAGTGAGCAGTGTGCAGTGTGTGCCACGTGCCCCGTCTGTTGCCGCAGGTCAAAAGGCACACACACAAGTCATGCAAATTTGCAGGCGTCTACTAATGATGATGCAACTGAAAGCTTTTTGGGCCGGCACTCTGGCCACCACCCCATGTAAAATGGCATATGGAATATGGAATAATGGTTACATTGCATCTGCGATGTTGCAATGTTGCAACAATGTCGCTGGTGGCACGCTGCACGTTGCACGCTCCACGCGAAAGGGGGTGACTTACTTGAACGGGGCGACCAAACAATAAAAATGAAAATAAAATAAAAAATGGGAATGCGAACGAAACGCTTCCGGGCGATTACACGCGTGCCATCGTCGTCCCTCTTCTATTTGGGTGAAAATTTACATTTTTTCCAGTGGCTGTTGCTGCTGCTTGCTGGCTTATGAAAAACAAATATGAGCCAGTTTTCGAGTCGAGTGGAGGGAAATTCGGGAAAGTCGGGCCCGTGTGTTTGTTGTTTCATGAGCAGTGAAGTGGACAAAGAGCAGGGAGCTTAAACGTTTTGTAAATCGCTGACATTTGCCTGTCAGTTTGTCAAAAAAAAAAAAAAGAAATGTACATCCAGAAAAAGGGGAGGGGGCGTGGCCGGGCGACACATTTTTTAACGGTCCTTCGTCCTTTCGTCCTGCATTCGTTGCCATCCCGCAACTCGTCCTGATTGACATGATTCGCACTTGACTTGCTGCGCAGGCGCGCATTAAGTGAGCAAAAGCAAAAAG